ATCAGAATCCGCCGCCACCCCCTCAACAGCAACCTCAGCCCCACCCCCATCAGGCTCCTCAGCACCAGCCGCAACCGGCGCCGCCACTACCCATGCACCAAGCGCAGCAGCCACAACAACACTCGCGGAATCTCTACCCTCCTCAACCGTGGCAACCTCAGGCCGCCCCGAGCGCGAATCAACACACTCAGCCACCACCGGTACATCCCCCACCCATGGCCTCGATATCGCCGGTGCATCCTGTCCCCCCTTCGCATGGTCCGCCGCCTTCGCACCATCAGGCGAATGCGCCGACCTACCAGCCAGCACAGGCTCAACACTTGCAGATGCACCACTCGTCACCCGCTCCTCAGTCGCCGCTCTATCCCTACCACAGTATGCAGCAGCAGCAGCAGCAGCAACAACAACAGCAGCAGCAACAACAGCAACAGCAACAGCAGCATCACCAGCAACCTTACCAACAGCAGCAACAGCCCCCTCAACAGCAGCAACAGCCCCCTCAACAGCAGCAGCAGCAGCAGCCCCCACCGCCGCCGCCACCGCAACAGCCACAGCAGCAACCACAGTACTCACTTCATCACCAGCAGCAGCAGCAATCTGTCAACCCGGCGCCATACAACGTTAAGTCGGTTGCGCCTCCGGACCTACACATTCAAGTTCCTCGTCCAGCGCCAGTCTCGCAGCCTCCGCCTCAACAGATGCAGGTGCCAGTACAAACTTTGCTAGCTCCCGAACCCCCGGCAGAGATGTCTGTATCACCCGTCGAGATCATGCACAAAATACCGGAAGCTCCGCCCGCACCCAACCCGGCTGTGAGCGAGCTACAGCGTCATTGCACGTCGCTGTACCAGTTCGCGTCTCATTACGGTTCGCATCCCCACCGACTCCGTCCGATCTCGTCCTGACTGGTTCGCCGCATGACAGCTACCGAATCTAGCGCCTTCCCATCCGACGAGGAGTTTGCGCAGATGAACCAACTGGCCGACCGCGTTGTGCGCTTGCTGAAGGATATGCAGCGGCAGTCGCAACCTCAGCCTGCAGCGCCAACGCCCACGTTCCCGGATCCCATGGAGGACGTTCAGCCCACCAGCGACTCCGGCCCGTCCACTCAGTCTACCGAGCAGACCCGGCCGCCTAAGCGCCCTTGGGAGGACGCAGTAATACCTCCACCAACTCCTTCGTTTAGCGAGAGCGTCAGTCAGCCTATCGCTCTGCCTGAGGTAAGATTTGCTCTTGCTTCCTCTTCTGGGTTCCCAACCTGCGTATGTTTTGTATGCGCAGAAGAAGCGGCAGTGGGCCACAGGGCGAGCTACTCCTGGCAACAGTGGCGCAAATCTGATGGGTGACGTGGGATCTCGATCGTGGACCCGATGCCTCCGGATCACCCGTCATCTTGCGTTTATCTTCAAATGATCCGGCGGGTCTATTGCTACCGCTGCGGGTCGCCCGCGCCTCCCGAACGGATGCATCCGACGATGTTCCCCTGAGCGCCTGGACGCAATCGCTATGCGTTCCATCTCGTTATTCATTGCTGACTGTTTTGCGTTACAGTCTCAAACGACAGCTGAGTCTGATATGGAGCTCATTCGCAATAAGCGCGCGGCAGCGACCGGGTCAGGCTCGACCAGTGCCAAAGAGAAGATCAAATACCGCAAACGGAGTGTACGTCCCTGTGAACTTCATCACATTGGCCGCATGTAACTTAGACGTCCTCTAGCGCGCGAACCCGCCGGGCAAATGTCATTCCTGTGGCATTCGGGAGACACCCGAATGGCGGCGTGGGCCCGATGGCGCGCGAACGCTGTGCAACGCTTGTGGGTTGCACTACGCCAAACTCGTGCGCAAGCGCGACAAGGCAGCCGCTCAGAACGGGTCGTCTCCTCCTGCTATCGACATCGCGACGTTGCGCGCATCTGCACGGGCGAACGGGGCAATTGGTAGCGCGCCGCCGTCGCCAGAGGTGGCGCATAGCCAGCCATCGTCGCAAACTCAGCAGGATGACCCTCCAGCACTCGCGCCGCTTCCCCTACCGACTCCATCCGAGGCAAAACCGTCGACATCGCAACAGCGGCAACCCCCGCCGCAGCCGAAGCCGACGTTCCCGCCTCCTGTTATGCCTGCACTTTCTGGCCCTGCAACTGCGCCGGGAGGCTGGGCGCGCTCATACCCGCCACCTGTACAAGCGCATGCTTCTGCGCCTATCCTTGCTCTTCCCCAACGAAAGTAGAATCGTAATCCGTTCAGCGTCCTGTAATTGTCATTGAAAGCGTTCACTCATCTCCACCACGGTTTACCTTCTGCATCCATCATCAACATTTACTGTCAGCCCAATTCGCGGTGTCTTGCTACATAAAATACCTTCGGACATCTCGTCTCGTCACCCACGCACATCGAGACTGCCGCCACATATATTCCCATCATCATCCCAAGTCGCTCTTGTTATTTCCGCTTTGTTGCATATCTTACACTCTTGTAGTCTTCGCTCTTGCGAAAGTCATATCCAACGGGTACTTTTTCGCTATAATGAGTATGATACCTAGTGTCCTGTAGACCGAATCACAATGATTATCATACTTGACTGCCAAAGACACGCTGGTTGCACGCTGGCGCTCGTGTGACTGGAACAGATGGCCTCGGAGGTCTCGCGGCCGAAAGGACGAAGAAGGCTTTCCTCCTCCCACGATGACTTCTCCACTCAGTACACACTCTGCTCGAACTGACAGACCCTGGGACGCTCTGCGATGCTACAAAGTCGCAGATGCTCACCTGATATCGCAAATGACCACTCTCGTTGTCCGTAAAGGGTTGGTTCAAACAGGAACGGCAACGTTTGGGCGTCAAACTGTTAACCGCGTTTGGTGCACGTACTCTAGCAATCTCGAAGGATCAGACAGGGCCTCTCGGCCCTTATCTCTCTTGGCCTGCGACAACCATGAGCGCAGCGTTAGCAGCCATTCCACCATACCAGTCCGACTCGATTCCTGCTGTTGTTGCGGTAGAGGAGCTGCCGTCTTACGAGGATGCACGCGCGGAAGCGACTGCCTCGCGTCGGCGCCGGAGCGCCCCTATTCCATTCGCGACTTACATCGATGCTCACCACCGCCGTACGACTACGTCTGACGTGCGACGTCCAGACCCATACATCTCAGAACGCTCCTTTCACATTCGTACCACCAAGGGCGTGGCATGGCTCACCATGACTCTGAGAAGTCGTGCTACCAGCGCCAAATACCTCCCGTTGTACTGTGATAGGGATGTGATCCGCGGTAACGTCACATTGGAGTTGCAAGAGACTATGCGACTGAAAGCCATTGTGCTCAAGGTGCGTACTCATCTCGGCTGCACTGCAAGTACGAACCCGATCTTGATGCAGCGCCTTGACAGTATCGCTGCGTAATCTCGGGTCAGATACAACAAGTCGTGCTTGATAAGGAGCAAAATATATGGCCTCAGGATAGCGCGCAGACTGGTTTTCTTCCCAGAGGGAAGCATGTTATGCCCATTGAGTTTCCCATCCCTCATGAAGTACCCAATCCTCGACGTCCTGGCCAAATGATAGACTTGCCTCCAACCTTTACCGAAGGCGGTGGAAGTGCCGTCTACATTGACTACATGGTGTGTCCTCGTTGCTACATATGCGGATCCCGCCATAGGCGGACTAACATACAGACAGTTCTCCGTAAGCCTGCGGAAACCACGATTGAACATGAGCAGAAAGTGAGTATGCACCATCTGATCTTCACAGATGTCGATTGGCTGATTGACGTCTCCATCTGAGAATCACGACGGAGGTGGGGTACTATCCTCGAACTGTGTGCGGGGCGCCCTCTCTGCTACGCTCACTTGCATACGAGAACAATACTAGCCTTCTTGGCCCCGAGCTCGACCCTTCTGGCTGGAGGATTCTCCCGTCGGTCAACACACCAAGAACGGTGTTCGAGACGAGAGTTATCTTGATAGAATATACGGTACGTGTTTGCCATGGGCTACCGCTTGGCCGCGACTGAACGAACCCGTAGCTAGCTATCGCCGAACCGGTTTGTATCGCGTAGTCTCTGTGTGGTTCTAGCATTCTCATGTCCCACTAAGCTCTCCTTCGCTATAGGCGGTTCGATTCCCGTCTTCCTTACCATCAAGAGCCCAGAGTCGCAAGCGCTCGATATCGCCGCTTCGCGAGCTGACGTTCGATTGAGGCGTGTAGTCGGAGTGGGACGGCGTAATACATCGTGCAAACACATCGCCCGAGCTGTATTCCGGCCGTATGAGCGGATCGGGCGAGCGAACGAGGATACCCGTTGCCTTCAGGGAGAAATCAGTATACCCAAGGGGACAACACCCTCGTTCACCTGGCTAGATGTCACTCTTCGGGTAAGCTCTTCGCCTTACACCTCGATCAATAGCAAGATTCATTCACGATGGTTTAGTACGACATTGCCCTTTACAGCCCCACAATCGCCGAGCCGACCGTAGCCTCAACTCCGGCATTCTTGTCCAGCGGAAACCCACTGCACTCTGAGAAGGTCGTAGTCACAGCTGCCTCTCCTCGTCACGGCAGCGGGGATCTGCTCTCGTCTCTTCCGCCAGCGTACGGTTTATAAAAGCACAGAATGATAAGAAGTGTCGTCTCTATCAGTCGATACAGCCTCACTGACTCTCATCCATCCGCTCTCATCTTCTCTCTTAAAGTCATGTACTGTTCGCAAAAGAGTGGTGGGGGATGGCTTACCCGTGTAACAGTGTACTATATACGTGTCATTTCAGTTGCGCATACGAGCGCCTATGTGGTTCTGCCTGCCCACTTACACAGTGTGAGGACTTCGCTATCAAACTTGAGTCGTCCTTCATCAAAGCGGATACATGATGGGATAAGGCAACAATTACTTGCTGTCGCTGCGAGACGAGACGACACCGAGCCGGGTCAGCCGGGCCGGGCCGTGGCCGCGAGTAGCAAAACGGTTGCCGCCTGTGCAGCAGCATGTTTCCTCCCCCCACGACCACTACCAATGAGAGGTTGTGCACATCATACGCCCCTGGGCCTGGCATGCCCATGCGGGGAACTGTCTATCAGTATCCCAGTCTGCAGAGTTGTAGACATGGTCAAACATCGTTGATCCTTCAAGGGCGCTGATCTCTGGCCCATGTGCACCCGCCTATGCACTTCCGAGAGCGACTAGAAAACTACCAGCCTTGGTCACTCTCCGACGTATAACCATCTCCTCCGGAGCATCGCAGCGTGGTTGACCTCATACATTGGTCGTTGCTCCTTCATACTACTACCATGGCTGAAAGTCCGCCCTCCTATGACGATTCGAACCTATCAGGAGATGCCATCGTCTCACTGTCGCGCAGAGAGCCCTACGTACTGGAACCTCCCCTTATACTCGATCATGAACTGCACACCTCTATATCTATGCCGGCTCTGAGCCATGGCCAACCCACTACGGAACACTCTTTCACTATCGGTTCGACGAAGGGAATCCCATGGCTAATCGTGCATCTGAGGAGTCGTGCCGTAGCACCGGAATCCTTACCGCTGTACTATGGTCATGATACAATTCGCGGAGATGTTACATTGGAGCTTCAAGAGGGTATGAAACTGAAGGCTATTGTTCTCAAGGTACGCTGCCGCCTTGGTCCTGAGCGTAGGTTCATCTGACATCTTGGCAGTACTGCTGCAAAGTTGCCTACAATGGGACCATCCTCGAGGCTGTGCATGATGTATGGCGTGGGGAGGCTGGTGCGACGTTCAAGTTACTGCCGCAAGGGAGACACGTCATACCCATCGAGTTTCCCATCCCGTATGAAACATCTCATCCTCAGGAGCCGGGGAAGTCGATCACGTTGCCACCGACATTTGTGGAAGGCGGAGGGAGCGATGTGAATATAAGCTATACTGTAAGTCATTACTAAGACATAGCAACGCCGATCCGTACGGACTGATCGTATCGTAGCTATCTATCAGCGTCCAAAGGGGGGGCCTCCAGGCCAGCAAGAAGTGAGCATTCCTCTCGCTCCCTTGAGTACATCGTCTCATTGCTCTTACAGAGTCACTCTCGGCGTATGCTATTTCCCAAGGAGTGTTCATAGTACCCCTCAAAAGGCTCGCTTGCTCGCCTCTCGACACGTTATCGACCTACTTGGCCCTGAGCTTGATCCGCTCGGCTGGAGAACTCTCCCACCCGTGAACTTGGGCCGGGCAGCCTTTCATACGCGGAAAGTGAATACCGAATATACTGTACGTCTTGACGTTGTAATGCGCACGGGCAGGCTATGATGTAGTATCTATAGTTGGCACTCGCAGAACCGGTACGTGAAGAACTCGCTCTATCGGACGATACTGAGTGCTCCTCTAGACCTCGTATATGATCGGTGGCACTATCCCCGTCTTTCTCACTGTCCGGAGCCCTGATGCAAGAGCACTGGAATCTATCGCTTTTGACGACAAGGACGTCGTGGTTCGGTTGCGACGTTTGGTCGAGGTTGGACCTCCCGGCTCGGAAGGGAAAGTCAGCGCGGCTTTCATCGAGAACATAGGCAACGCAACATTTTGGCCGTACGAGTTGAACTCTCGGGCACCGGAAGAGGGCACTCGCATGCTTCAAGGCGAGATCATCATACCTAGAGAAACCGTACCTTCGTTCACTTGGATGAACATCAGTCTCCGGGTCAGTCGGAAAGGCCTGCACGTTCGCCGTCGCTTGGCTGACTTTGATCTAGTACGATGTCATACTGCGTCCTCCCACAAAGTTTAGTCCACCGCGCGTTGCATACGGGGTCTCCGAATTTGACTTAAAACCTGTGCGCTCTGTCAAGGTCGTCATTGCTGTAGATTCCCTCAACACCCTGATCACCTGCTTGCCTCAGCGGCTCCGCCGATATATACCCAGTAGATGTTGAACGCGCGTTTCGCACCCTTATCTCATAGTCCTGGTTACTCTCAGTATGACGTGTGACTCTGATAGACAGCCCTTCTGTAGTTCTGCTACTGTAGTGGAACATCACGCAAGCGCTTTAGACTCGCTTACTTGTAGACGCCGAACTCTGGCATCGCGTTCACGTCACACTCGAGGCAAATGGCAATTGTAAACTTGAACTCGAACCATGATCATCCGCACCAGCGAGCACACCCTCTGGCGTCATTCAACCCTAGGGCACACCCGTATGGACTGTCTGAACTCAGTCTGACAGCGCGCTGTCTCTCGCATGAGCAATTGCCATCGTGGGTCGTGAAGTGCCACGCTCGGCGCCCTGGGCATGATCGTGTGTGGCCATGTGCATTCCAAGCTTCTAGCTATCTACCCGCTATACCCGCGCACGGCTTTCACTCTACCTTGAACTACGGACCTGTGCACCTTGTCGGCAACACTCATGGCGGATGAACTTCCTGGATATACTGAGTTCGGCACTGGCACTTTCAAGACCGAGCACGAGTTCTACATCAGGAATAACAAAGCGAAGCCTTGGCTGACTCTAAGGCTACGCAGCCGCGCGACTGAGACGAAGTTTCTGCCTGTCTACTGCGACGGTGACTCGGTGACGGGCGAGGTGGTGTTGGATTTGGAGAGCGACGAGAAGACCAAGGGGATCTCTTTCACGGTTCGTCGCGATCAGCTTGGAGCTCTTTGCCGCAGCTGACCGTGTCTTTAGTTGCGTGGTAGCATCACAGAGACTGGGCAGGACGAGGAGTTCTTCCTGGAGAAGGTCGTGGACTTGTGGAAGCCGCCAGACGGAGCGTCGTCGGGCGTGATCAAGAAGGGTCACCACTCTATACTGATATCTGTCCCTATACCATCGCATGGAACGAACCCGCGCGACCGTCAACAAAGCTTTGTGCTTCCACCAACCTTCTCCGAACGTGCCAGCCCTGCGTACATCAGCTATCAGGTGTGCATTCTTAGTGATACTGTGATGCATTCGCACTGAATCCTCCGGACGTAGGTGTCTGTAAGCCTGAAGAAGGGTGGTTTCACTCCGAACCGAAAGCTCGCATCAGGGATTGCATTCCTACCTCGCAAAGTAGCTGGAAGGCCCTCGCCAATGCGGGCTTTGGCTTACGAGAAGGGTACCGAACTGGCCGGGCCGTCCGAGGATCCTACCGGCTGGAACGTACTCCCTTCTGTCACTGTGGAAGGCAAGCTCTACAACGATCGGTCGGTCACCGTGGAGTACATCGTGCGTGAACACGTCTTTGAGATGCGACTACTGCTAACAGACGCCACAGCTTTCAGTGGCCGAGCCTGTATGCTACTTCAGCATGTTATCAACCCATAAGTACTCACTGAATGCTAGATGACCTTCCCATCAAATTCGCCGCTACCTGTGTTCTTAACTCTGAAGAGCACGGATAAGCAAGCACTTGACCTGCTTTCAGTGGCGCCCGACGTCCGTCTCGTTCGCACCGTAGCGATAGGCGGTCCTTCAACTGAACGTCGCAGCAACAACACTTTCGTAAACGCGGTCGCGAGGGCCAGCTTCTGGCCCCGCGAGAAGCAAGGCGGCGAGCACGAGCGTATCCTCCAAGGAGAAGTATCTATACCCAAAGGCGCGAAACAGAGCTTCGTCGCGAACAAGGTATCGCTATCTGTGAGTCTCGTTTAGTCATCATCGCAGTCGCCTGTGCTGACCGAAGACTAGTACAACCTCCTGCTCATGCAACCGAAGCTGCCTGGATTCGAACCCACGTCTACACCAGGCGGTGCCATCGTGTCACAACCTATCGAAGTCGTATCTTCATCGGTGCCGGGAGTACAAGTGCGGTCGTTCCTCCCGCCGGGATACCAGGAGCCGGAAGCGTACGAGAACTTCAATATCGCTACAGGTCTCCTGGAGAACGGCAACTTCCGTTTCTTGCACCACGCTGGTGTAGGAAGTGCTGCTGGTGGATTAGGATAACGTTGTGGATCTATCGTATATGTTTTGCCAGGCCACCTCTCTATGTATTCTATGTATGATGTACATGTGAGCTTCCGCTGCGCCCATTATGAAGAAGCGTACTACTGCTCCAGAGCGTCGTAAATTGAGCAGAGATCGCCGATCTCGATCCTTCGGTGATGTGATGGGAATCGCGATGTGGCACGTGTATGCGCGCATACGCGACGCGTCGGTCAGGAGCAGACGCGCCTTCTCAAGAACCACCAGCTGGTTAGACCTAGGAGTTTGGACGGAGAGTTATAGTAGTAGCGAATATGGGTACGTCAATCCGTTTAACCGCCCCGTTGTCATATGTGCTCATCAACGCCTAGGTATTCCGAAGGTGTGTTCCGCAGGTCGCGTCGTGAGTTGCTGAGCTGACCTCCCCGTCCAGTTCTTCAGATATATCTCGTACGTCACTCATTCCGTACTGCTACGAGCTCAACTCATGTCGTGCAGGGAGCGCTACCCGCTGACTTCGCAGATTATCGAGGAGGATAAGATCCCGGAGTTTGGTACGTCTACTCTTTTTGGAAGACTACGGCAGGATCACACGCGCGGCGTACAACGGAGATCTGGCTACGGACGCTTGTGTGATTGACGTATAGACCAGATGCTCCTTCCTATCGTACAGTCGCGCGGGACCTTCCCCTCTTCATTCCGTTGTCTTGGCGCAAGTTCTTACTGTGCTCTACAGACAATCTCTACCTCGACTTCAACGGAATCATTCACAACTGTACGTTTGGCTTACCGTTATACGTCTACTCTGATCTGATTTCCCCTAGGCTCACATCCCAACGATGAGGACGCGCATTTCCGACTATCTGAGGAGCAGATATTCACAGCCATATTCGCATATGTGGATCACTTATTCGGGAAGATAAAGCCAAAGAAGCTGTTCTTCATGGCTGTCGACGGAGTGGCGCCGCGTGCGAAGATGAATCAACAACGCAGTCGGCGTTTCAGGACGGCGAAGGAGGCGCGTGAGGTGCGCGAGAAGGCGCTTAGGAACGGAGAGAAGCTGCCAGATGAGAAGGCGTTTGACAGCAATTGTATCACGCCCGGTGAGTGACGAATGATCGACACGTCGCTACTCGTGCATGTGCTTACCGTTTCCACACAGGGACATTATTCATGGCGAAGCTGTCTGAGCAGCTGAAGTACTTTGTAAACAAGAAGATATCCGAAGATGCGAATTGGCGCGACATTCAGGTCGTTCTATCTGGACATGAGGTTCCCGGAGAGGGCGAGCACAAGATTATCGAATACATTCGCCTATCGAAGGCGCAACCCAATTATGACCCAAACATGCGCCACTGTTTCTACGGATTGGACGCCGACCTCATGATGCTGGGCCTGCTCAGCCATGACCCACACTTCTGCTTGTTGCGTGAGGAGGTCAAGTTTGGGCCCGCGAGAAGAAAGCATAGCGGCGGGTGCGTTTTCAGACCGTTCATAGTGGTTATCGTTCTTACGTCGACTTCCAGGTTAGAGTCGATCAACTTCTATCTACTCCATTTATCGCTTCTGCGCGAATACTTGGACCTGGAATTCCAAGATCTACGTCATATTCTTCCGTTTGAGTACAACCTTGAGCGTGTCATTGACGATTTCATCGTCCTGGCCGTCTTCATCGGCAATGACTTCTTGCCGCATCTGCCGGACTTGCATATTCAGGAGCATGGACTGGAGAAGTTATTTGACGTCTATCTGAAAGTACTGCCGTCTCTTGGTGAGTTCCGTATCGCACAGCTTCCATAACGTCAGCTCATAGCGTACAGACGGCTACATCAACGACCACGGTCAAGTCAACTTCGTACGCCTGCAGGCGATCATGAACGAGATGGCCGATTGGGAGCGAGATATCTTCGAGAAGGAGTTCTCGGACATCAATTGGTACAAGGGCAAGCAGGCGAAGCATGTCAAGCAGACGAAGCAGAGCGCGCAGAAGGGCGGTGGTCTCGGTGAGTTGCCATCTCCAGTTCTGGTGCCGATGCTAACGCCATCATAGTCCTGACACCGGGTCAGCGCGCGATCTTCGACAAGGTCCAGGCGTTTGTACTGGAGTACCGGAAGTCGATCTCCCCTCACAAGCTCGGCGATGCACGCCTCACTATGCCGAACTTGTTCCCGGCGGGCGAGCGGAAGTTCATCACCGATCTTACCAAAGACTTGCACTTGGACGTGACTTGGGACGAGTACGACGACTATGACCAGAACCTGGTGACGATTCGCTTCCCTGGCGCGCTCGACGAGCCCGTTCCAGTGGGCGATGACGCTGAGGACGACTCGGAATGGGAGGAGGACGAAGAGGCGCAGCAGGCTGTTGATCGAGTGCTGAAGAAGTACGACAAGGCGCATGTCATCAACGACGATGAAGACGGTGATTTCGATACGAGGCATGAGCGTGCGATCTTGGAGAAGATGGATGAGTGGAAGAGGGGTTACTATAAGGCGCGTCGCGATTGAATGCTGCAAAGAATGCCGCTAATCTCTATCATTGACAGGGGAAGCTCAACATCGACTATGATGAGCCAGAACAGCTCTACCCGCTTGTATACCGCTGGGCGGAGGGTCTGCAGTGGGTGATGTACTACTACTATCGCGGTGTGGCGTCGTGGAGTTGGTTCTACGACTATCACTACGCCCCGCGTATTTCTGGTCAGCTGTTCCGAGTCATGTTGATTGGCATGCGCTTATGTCTCCCAGATCTGAAGGGACTGGACAAGATGGAGTTCAAGTTCGAGCTTGGTACTCCGTTCAAGCCCTTCGAACAGCTGATGGGCGTCTTGCCCGAGGCTAGTAAAGAGCTCTTGCCTATGGCTTTCCGGGTACCAATATTCACATGTGAACGACGATCAAGCGCTCAAGCTTTCAACAGGAACTCATGTACGACCCGAACTCGCCTATCTTGGACTTCTACCCGCAGGAGTTTGAGCAAGATCTCAATGGCAAGAAGCAGGATTGGGAGGCTATCGTCAAAATCCCGTTCATTGACGAGAAGCGTCTCTTGCGAGCGATGTCAGGTTCGTCGTAATCAAAGCGGGTGTCATGCAGTCGATACTAAACGGAGCCCAGCGCGCGAGGCCCGGCTATCAAACGAGGAGAAGAACCGCAACTCGTTCGGGACAAGCTGGACGTTCCGCTACAACACCGGTGAACCAACGGTTTACCCATCATCTTTGCCCGGTTTCTTCCCACCACTAACCCGATGCACGACTACGATGGAACCCTTCCACTTGCCCACCCTGGAAGGTCTCCACCTCATCAAGGGCTTACTCAATGGTGTCAAGCTCGGCGCTGACGCGCTCGCTGGTTTCCCGTCGCTCAAGACCTTACCGCACAATGCGACTCTTGGCCATCACGGCGTGAACGTGCACGGCTCGGAGAGCCGCAACAAGTCCATCGTCATTCACATCAAGAACCCCTTCGAGGCACAGAAGCCAGAGGATGTCGCTAATGCGCATATCGGGAAGAAGACGTTCATCGGCTGGCCGTTCCTCCAGGAGGCCACGGTGGTCGCCGTGTCCAACTCACTCTTCAAGTATGAGAAGATGAGCGTCGTTCAGGGCGCACCTCCCAGAGTTGTTGCGAATCCGCATAGCCAGCATGGTCTCAGCATTTGGAAGTCGAAGGCAGAGCGGATTGAGTCTGTATACTCTAAGAAGGCAGGTGTCCTGACGGGGGACATCGACATGCTTCTCCATGTCCGGCCGTTGAAAGGTGCGTATATTCGGCTCTAATTGATCTGCATCACGTCATCGACGTTACGCGCAGGTCTCCAGCGCCTAGAGTCTGGTGCTCTTGTCAAGGAATATGACGGCCCGCATAAGGAGACGGAGGTCGCACTGCAGATGGCCGTGGCCGCGGTCGTTTCGGAGGATCCGCGGTTCATGGAGCGTGAGCCGCCCCCGCTCAGCGAGGAGTTCCCAGATGGCACTCGCGTGTTCTTCCTGGGCGAGCATGCGTACGGTGTTGCTGCTCAAGTCTCTGCGACAACACAAGACTCTCTGTCTGTCATCCTCGCAGTGAGCTCAGCGCGTTGGTCTTCATTGTACCTTGCTGACCTGCACGCACCAGTTCTTCCCCTCGGACAAGGCGGATAACGACAAGTTCAAGTCAATCGTCCATCACCGTAGCCAACTACGCTACTATCCGTCATACAAGGTCGCCGAATTGGTCGGCATCTCAAGCCGAGCCCTATCGCGCGTCACGTCCAGCTTCATGGTGCTCTCCGAGGGCCAGAAGATCAACCTCGGGCTCAGCTTGAAGTTCGAGGCGAAGGGCATGAAAGTACTCGATTACTCGCGCAAGGATGGCCGTAACTGGGAATTCAGCGATCAGGCCATCGCGCTGATCAAGGAGTACAAGGCCAAGTATCCTCAGGTCTTTCGGTGTCTTGACACCAACGGTGATGGTAAGCCCTCTGGCTTTCGGCCGGCATTCACATTATTGACGTTCGCTACAGATATGGCGAGAGCCACCGATATCTTCTCCGAGGATGCTGGTGCACAGGCCAAAGAAGTTCGTTCTTGGCTCAACACCAAGGGTGTGCGCGACTTCGAGCCTGTCTCACTGTTCTGCGATCAACTCAAGAAGGTCAGTACGCGCATGGGGAATGTTATTATGTACTCATCGTCGTTATAGGATGCCGTCGCCGAGATCGAGAAAGTGGCAGACGAGGCCAACGCGAACCGGGTTCCAGCTGCCATCAAAAAGGCAATCGTCAAAAATATCCCACGCCGCGCGCTGCTCAAACCCGCTCACGCCGTCTACCGCCTTCAAAATCAGGCATTCTCCCTTGGCGACCGAGTGACGATGGTACAGGACTCCGGCGCTGTCCCCCTCTCCGCAAAGGGCGTTGTCATCGGTCTCAACAACAAGACCATGGACGTAGTGTGGGACTCGACGTTCCTCTCCGGGAGTACCCTCAATGGGCGGTATGTCGTAGTATGTCCCATATGTGTGAGGATACTCATATCGTTCTCCTAGATGCTCGCAATACCGAGGATCGACAGTAGACTTTAACTCTTGTCTCAACCTTAGCAACCCCCAGTTTATCGCGTCACTGCAGCCCAACGGGACCGCAGCTGCACCTAATCAGCCCTTCCGCCCCCGCATCGGCCACAATCCCGCCGCCAACAACCCTCCAGGTTATCAGGCTGCCTCAGGTTTCCGCCCAGCGCCGCAGCGTCCGGGGTTCGTAATTTGCTCAAGCGATCTCAAACGTGGGAACTTACCCTTTCGTAGGCAAGCGCCCGTGAGCATCATGTCGAACCCTCACCGTGGCGGGAGAGGAGGATTCGCGAACGGCCGTGGCGGCCACGCTGCTCCGGCTGCTGATGGCGACGGCGCCGCGAATGCGGCACCTGCAGCGCGGGGTGGCTTCGCCCATGCCGCGCGCGGAGGTGGCCATGCTCAACCAAACCATCTCACGCCCGTACCGCCTGCCCGTGGCGGTTTCAATCCTGCCTTCGGACGTGGCCGTGGAGGATTTGTGCACCGTGGGGGCCCACGAGGAGGCCGGGGCGGTCGTGGGCGTGGGGCTGCTGCCGTACCGTCTTGAAGTCGCCTTCACCTGTACTGCTGCTCACTGGATAGCCGCGGGAACGGTTTACTCCAGTTGTGAACGAATTCTACTGTAAGATATAATGTTGTATGGACCTGTATTGCCGCACGTATAATGAGCGACGTATTGTACTTTGTGTACAGAACTGTACTTGTACAAGCAAACTCGTGGTCTAGGTCTGTGAAGTATCGCTGTTCTAGCTGGGGAATTACTTCGAACGAGCCATAGCCTTCACATCGCGTAGCCAAGCGTCCTGCTCTCCACCCCAGCCGCCCAAATGTATGTACTTCCCTGGCCCACCCGCACTTGGATCGTCCGCGGCCATGAACTTCTTAATGCGTGCTTGAACAACAGTGTGGTTCGTCATGCACCACCAAATGATGCTGTCCCGCGAGAAGAAGGTTTTCAGCCACGACTCTTCGCACCCATCGCTACAGGACTCTTCAAGACGGAATAGACGCCGGAAGGTGCGCCATATGAGACGCGGGAAGTACAGCAAGAAAGGCGGGTCGAGCCCTGTGGCGTTATGATTTGATATCGGTACTGAGAACTCTCCGAGATGCTTAACTTACAGACAATGTCCGTGGCCGCGCCGTCGACTATATCGCCTAGAGGACGGCTGTAGTTGCCGTCCACCACCCAGCCGCCTTGGGCTTTGTCCAAGGTCGCAGCCACGATGGCTCTGAACTCGTCATCTGGAAGTTCTTGCCATCCCGGCAACCAGTAAATCGCATCCAGAGAGATAAAGGGCACGCCCAGAACGCGCGCGAGCTCCGCGCCTAGCGTGCTCTAGGACATTGTAGCGCGCACTATCAGAAGGATGGCGCGCATGGGTCGCATACCTTTCCGGCACCTTCAAGACGAGATACGGGCGCTGTAAGCCTCGCTGTACATGCGCAATGCGCGCCTAAAACGCACCGCTGTTCCCCGATATTTTCACGCGGAAACGGCCGTATTCGTCGCCCTTGAGTGGCTGCGCAAAGACATGCTGGCTCATGGTGGTAGAGGGCGAAGGGCACTCTGAGCGACAAGTAGGATATTTGGCTCAAAGGACGGAGTCAGACTCTGTATAAGTTACCCATGTTGACGCCATTCGGTACCGATATGAGCCTTCGGCACCGAGAGTTGGAAGCGCTGGAGATTCACCATACACAAAATACGCTACTCACAGTATACGTCGTTGAGATTTAGGAAGGGCTGAGTGCAATGCATGTCATCGCCACCTGTGCAACCAGCAATCGTATCGGCGCGATCGATGCAGGACGCAAAAGGCGTGGTAAACGTTAACCGCTACAGCTCGCGCCACACGCCGCGAGAGCGTGCGTCAGTGGAGATTAGTACTTGACTGCCATGTTCGCGCTACTCTTCAACGCACCTCTCCTCCCACCTTCATCTTGCTTGTATCGCTACAATGGTCGGAAGCTCTAGGACCGGAAGGTCCATTAGGCGTGAGGACGACTGGGAGGACGTTGATGACTACGACGACGAGGGTATGGCCGATGACTATGAGACGCCGGCCTCTAAGTAGGTCCATATCTTGCCTTCAATCGGAATACGCATTTCTGACACATACATCATCTTAGTATATCACGCTCTAGTAGCCCTTCATCGTCGCGCAGACGCCGAAAAGCTGGCCAACGTCCGCTTTTTGTCGCTGCAGGACCAAGCAAACCACATTCTCGCGGGACCACATCTCAGCTCGTACAAAGGACCAACCGCGCCGCATCGGGCAACTCCTCTGCCTCTACCCGCACACGCCAACGACAACGCGATCAGACTGTAGGCGACGTGACTGAAGTCCTTCGCGATACTGGAGCAGCAAGTGCCCGCTACGCTCTAAGTGTCTTTGGTCTATCTACGCGCTTCATGAAATACCCACTCTCGTTCCTGCTTTTCCTATACCTCTCGGCATGGATCTTGGGCCGCGTCTCCAACCAGCTTCAGACGGCGCTGCAGCCGCTTTGCTATATACCCGGCGTTTCGCTCTTGTGCTCGTATTCCAGTCCGTACGACGCTGCGGGCGACAGCGGACCTCCTCCACCCCCGCAATGGGCAGACTTCCCTCGCCTGGTCGATATGCAGGGTCAGACCTTCGAGGCGTTGCTCGATGAGTCGACTGACAACGCTGGCCTGTCGCTCGAGATCAAGAAGGCTGAGATGGCGACAGCAGACTTGGCGACACTCGTCCGTGTTAGCGATTTGGTCAGTCGGGAGCGTCTCGCGGATATCTTGACGGACTTCGTTGGAGATGCCCGAGATACGAGCCGCCAGCTGCAGAGGTTCAGCTCTCAGGTCAACGGTGCACTTGATGAGTCAGTTTTTCTCGCCGGTCTCTAATGTCAGCGTCGCGACTGATGCGAGTGTTCAGCGTCATGGCCGTCAACGACCATGCCTTACACACGATCGAAGCCGCCGAAGCGCACTCCAAGTCTGTTGTAGCTTCTATGCAAGCTCTTATACCCTTCGCCTCGACGCCCGAGGAAGTTCGTCAAGCGACGGTCACGAAAGCTTTCGCGAACGCGATGTCCGTCTTGTCCGCGAACATGGAGCGTCTACAACTCGAGGCGCAGATGTCTCTCATGAGGCTCGATCGTCTAGAAGCGCGCCTCGGGACGCTTCATGAGCTTGTCAAAACGGAGGACGCATCGCTAGCCGATCTCCGCGACGAGATCCTCGCGAAGCTCTGGACAAAACTGGGCGGGAACAAGCGCGAGCTGCGCGGCACGGACAAGCACCGCGCGCTGCTAGCCGGGATTGGCGCATACCGCCAACGGGCGCTCGCCCATGTCGTAGCGACGCTACAGGCGCTGCAGGGTTATTCTGAAGATATGGAGGTGCTCCGAGGACGCGTGGCTACACCTTCGCTCGCGGAGGACATTCCACTTGACGTGCATGTGCGGAGCATCGGCGCGGGCCTGCGCCGGTTGCAGGACCGCAGTGTCCGGGCAGAGGCCCGCCGCGACGAGATCGCATCTGCCGCTCTGCGCGACGCAGACCGTGAAATCGGCGCTGCTTGATGCAGCCGATTGAATCCACATGCTACGTGCTCTGTACTTAGGAATTGCCTTTTCCGGATGTATAACTATGTATTCTTCGTCTTCTGTTGTAATAGGTCGAGTCAGCTGGTCTGTATGTTGTGGTAGGACCGCATGGGCGAAGATACTCCGTATGTTCAGGTGCGTTCCACTCCGTGTGCGGTGGTAGTTGCGAACATGTGCCCCCTGCTCTAATGATGAAGTGTAGCGTATGGCTTGTCTTGTGTTTACTTCCTTCCGTCTTGCGCGATGCACTAGTTCTACGATAGCCTAGCACGGAACCAGGTGCGACTCGGACTTCGCTGACTGTGGACCGTGTGTGTGTGGACCTCCAGCTCGTGCTCGCTGAGCCGTGTTCTCTGTATACGTGTTATCTGGATCAGCAGAAGACTGGAGGCGACGATCCCTGCGTTCCGTGCTCGTCGTATCGTGCCGACTGCCAACTGCCAACCCAGGGGCCATCATTCGAGGGCTTCTTTCCGCGCCCAACTGCGCCTGCCACTCCTTGGCCACACCGTGCCTTGGACCATCATACAGTTGCATCAATTGCTGAATGACGATCCGTAAATTCGACAGGTATAAGTAATCTCTAACACCGCAGTACGTATTTGTTGCCACCAGGCTCAGCGCTACAGTCATTGTACGTCTTGGAGGGCTCGGATTCTCACGGCGCTGCTAAGACAATTGAGCGAGACGGTCCTGCGACCGTGAGCAATGCTCGTCCAATACTGATTCGCGTGTCTTCTGTAATGGAGTGTCCGTGGGACAGAGCTGGCGGCATAAGCCAATGAACACCGTGTTCTGCGTCGCTGGCCGCACACACGTCGCTCATTGGCAGCAATCGTAGTGTATGAGTAGATGCCGCCGCCGGCTTCTCATGTTGACGATGACCGGTCAGCTCTTCGTGAGTACTAAATACTGAGCGCTGGGCACTCGTGGAAGACAGGCTATGCTCGTGCACGTCTATAGGATGTTGGCTTCGGCTCCGAACGACAAACGGGATCGAAAATAACCTATTTCCGAACTTACTACGAGCGGAAGCAACACGATATTCCACGAATTCTACGTGCCGTTAGGGTGGCTTTCCAAGTTCTGAGAAACAAGTCTATGCCTCGCACCATGCTGTCAAGTACGCCGCCAAGATGTCGACGGCACCCTGTAAAAGAATATATATGCTCTGGTAGTCACGTCATAGATCGCGGGTTCTACACGACAGCACGGACCGAAAAGGATATCGGGCTATCTCATCTATCGAAGCGCAGAGAGATCGGGTTGAACTACCCCTTTTATCTGGTTGATTGAGGGGGCAGGGAGCTTGCTGCGTTCTCGAGGGACACATGCACAGCGGACCGCCACAGGCACCGCGCGACGCCGCGGCGGGTT